TTACTTCAATGAAACCTTCATCACCAATCATCTTCTTTCTTTCTACGGTATTTGCCTCAAAACACATCCATCTATACTTTATATATATATATATATATATCTTTCTTGAGTTTTGGATCTTCTTATATAATAGTTTGGAGAAGATGATTGTTGCAACACTTTGAGTTCAACTCACAAGTTTGTTTCGTCTGTCTTCATCGCCTTTCCTTGTGTTGACAGGTGACTGTTCAATTCATTTAATACGAATATTAAATACATTTCACCAAATAATATCTCTTATTTGATCAAGGAAACAAATAATCAACTTCCATATCAAATGGAGTTTGTAGAAGTAATGTCAGCGTAAAACAACTATAGTAGTAACTTTATTTACTTTTCTCCATGATTTTAGGGATTTGGTTTTGACGGAAAGCATGATTCTTCTATTTAATAGAATTGTGAGTTTCAAGATGACTTTTTGGTTCGATCTATTAAGAAATGAAATATTTAAAGCAAACTTTATCGTTAATCTCAATAAATGATAAATATTTAATGTATATAAGACAGACTATACGTTTCATTTGATTTACAATATCTTATATACAATTTGTATCTTACACTTCATCTAACAAGTTTTTCAAAGATATGTTCATAGATGTTTTTGCAAACATTTCTTCTTTATATAAATGTTTTGTTTGTTAATATTAAAACTCTAATTTTAAGAGATCTAGATCGTCTTTTGACTTAACATAATGTATAAAATTTATTAAATATAATCTTTCATGTTTTCAAGCATTTGTGCAAAATAAAGTTAAAATGATGTAGCAAGTCATTGCCATTGCAATAAGTGCTTCAAGGTAAACAAAGGAAAATGATGTTGATAAGGAAACAACGAGGGAAGATACGGAAGAGAAAATATTAGTAGAAACTACAAATAATAAAAAATAATTGCTCATATATATATATATATATATATATATATATATATAAGAAAGAATCATAAAAGACAAAGAATAAGGAAGTCAAATCTCCCTCTGTATCAACAGACACGTTTTTTATATTGTGGCCAATATGACTTTTTTTTCTTTTTCTTTTATAGTTTCTATTTTAGTGTAAGCAATTTGGCTTTTGTACCATGCGTGTAGAGTGGTTTTGGGACTACAAGCTAAGCTAGTTATCACTCTTTGGCAGCATGGTTTTGGTTTTCTACACATTTTCTTCTTATAAAGGGAGGGGGAGAAAGAAAAAAACTCTACCTCTGTTCTCTCCTCTTACCATTTCTTGAGTGAAGAATAGTGAGTATATTGAACCTTCCATGAGCCCAACGGTGCAACATTGAATTATCATTGGAGCTGTTTGTTTGTTTTGCCATCTTACTCCATCACTCTATGTTGATCTCGTGGCAACTGTACCAAAGTCAACTTGTAACAGTAATCAGTAAGGTCGTCTCCTCAGGGATATTTCAAGAGTAAGTTTTGTTAGACCTACTTCATTCAATAATTCATATTCTACATCAAATTTTAATAATTCAACCGTTGAATTAAAAGTTATAAAGTGTAAATCAAATTTACAAATTTTAAAAATTTAAAAATCATATGATATATACTTCGTTATATATATTCAAATTAACGTATAAAATGTTTTAAAGATTATTCGTTAATTTGAATTAATTAAACAAAGTATCAAATAATTTTAAAATTTTAAAAAAATTTATAAATTTGATTATGTATTTAAAAATTTTAATTTAATAATTAGATCATCGAAATTTAATATAAAATATGAATTATTGAATAAAGTAAGATTATCAAGACTTATTTTTAAAATAAATAAATCATTTCTTTCTCTTACTCACATATACACAGGCCCACACATAAATTAAAATAAATAACTTTTTTAGTATAAAAACTAAAATGGCAAAGAATATAACTATAGGGATCAATATGTAAAAATTATGCAAGTATGTAGACCAGATCGTAAAACGAAACACACCCAATACCATATCACTTACATGTCAGCGCCACGTCGTCTATGGTTAACCACGTTAACTTTTTTTTTTTTTCACAAATGAGACAAAAAAAAATTGAAATATATGTAAAATTTGTGTAATTATATAAACCAAATGAGCAATTAAATCTCCACTCCAAAATCATACATGAAAATTTCATCTCATACGGCTCCTATCTTGTATATATAACGATAAAAATATACAGAATCCAAAAATTTCAAAAAAAATTATAGTATTCTCATTATCAACCAAACAGGCCAGTGTTAATTATTCATTTTTCAAACACGAATATAACAACATCTACATTATTGATCATCCGTACACTAATATAGTTATTTATCACATCAGCGTAAGCATGTCTTAAATTAATAGGATCAACACTTTCATGATTATAGTATTAAATCAAAGTGATATACTAGTTGTTCCCAACATATATTTATCCTTCTCTTTCAAGATCAAGACACCAATCCAATTTTGCCTTTAGTCTCACTAGTGAAGAAACAGAGTCAAGCTACTAAAAAGGGATGGATAAACTTCTTTCAAATGGGTTCAATAACGGATCTGTCCCTGAAGACTACATATTTCCACCAGAATTAAGACCTGGAAACCACAAAATCCCCTTCAGCAACATCCCAGTGATTGATCTTGATGAAGCACAGAATGGTGATCATAGAACTAACACAATTAAAAAAATTATCAAGGCTTCTGAGGAGTTTGGATTCTTTCAGGTTTAGTGATCATACTATTACTTTTATTATTATTATTATTATTATCATAAATCTTTTTTGGGTAAACAATAAGATTTCCTATGCACAAGGTAAACATTTATAGATTTTAGAACATGCTTTTTGCTATGGTAATGTTAAATGGAAATTGACGTGAGATGAGTGCAGGTTATCAATCATGGAATCTCGGTGAATCAAATGAATGAAGTAAGGAGTGTTTTGAAGGAGTTATTTGAGATGCCAGCTGAGGAAAAACAAAAACTGTATTCAGATGATCCTTTGAAAGCATGCAGGATGTATACTAGCACTATCAATTATGCAACTGAAAACGTTCATCGGTGGAGGGACAATTTTTTGCACCCATGTCATCCTTTGGAGCAGTGGCAACACCTATGGCCTCAAAATCCAACTAGATACAGGTATGAAAGAATTTTTAAAACATGTATGTCTTATTAACGAGTTGTAATAACGTTGGTCAGTGAATATAAAAATCTAACACATGGTGAAGAGTGAAGACTCTACTTTCATCATATTTTTTATGTTCCAGTATGGAATATTATCTAAAAAGTCGTGGTGAGTACTAGATCCAAAATATTCCGAGTGTCAAACTATCTTTTTTCTAAGTCGGAAGCTGCTATTTATATTAGAGTTATGTTCTAAGCATAAATCACTTATTTCGTGTCGTGATTTTGTAAATCATGAAAACGTTACTCATTATCATTAATAATTTCATAAATCATGTAACTATAATTATTATCTCACAAATCATGTCATTCTAACTATTATCATGTATGATCCTATAAATCTCAATGTCTTATCTCATTTATTAGTGGAAAGTAGTCGGTCACCAACCAAACCTCGTTTTTAATAGTGACACAAGGGTTCGATTGTTTAATCTAAGGACCAAAAGCCTGAACAGTATATGTAAAGTTTTCTAAACTCAAGTAATATAGACGAGAAGAATCTAAGTACTATTTATACTATAGTTATATTATAGATCCAAATCTCTTATTTTTTTGTTATGATTGTGTAAACCACAAAACATTACTCATTACTATTAATAATCTCATAAATAATGTCATTATGACTATTATCCCACAAATTATGTCATTATAACTATTATTATATATGATCTAGTAAATCTCAACACTTTTATCATATTGGAAAATAGTTCACTACCAATTGAGCCTTGTTCTAAATTCTAATAGTGACACAATTAATGATTCAATTATTGAATACCTTTCCGTCAAAGGTTGGATGATACATAACCTTTCAAGCTCAAATGCCATAGATACAAAGGGCCTAAGTACTTAGCCTGCGATCAATTGGCCAAAGACCTGATCGACATTCTTAATGCGCTCTACACCTTCAGTTCTAACATATATATCTTTTTTGGCAGAGAGTGTGTTGGAGCGTGTTCAATTGAAGTTAAAAAGTTGGCATCGAGGATCTTGAGTTTGATTAGTGAAGGGCTTGGTCTCAAGAATGGATATTTTGAGAACGATCTCACTGAATCAATGCTTTTGAATGTTAATCATTATCCACCATGCCCTGAACCCAGTTTGACACTGGGAATAACTAAGCACTCAGATCCAAATCTCATAACCATTTTACTCCAAGATCATGTTTGTGGACTTCAAATATTCAAGGATGGAAAGTGGACCACTGTTGAGCCTATTCCTAATGCATTTGTGGTAAACATAGGCTGCCAGTTGCAGGTACAATTCCCTTATTGAGTTTTATATGGATTTTTGTTTCAATTAATGAACTAAATTAATCAATTGAATTCATTTGTTCTAGATGTTTCAATTGTATTGCTAATTTCCAAATTCCAATTACTTTCAACAGCATAGTTCTGAGCCATGGAGAAATATTTTTGTTCATTTTCCTCATAAATTTTGTCTACTGAGTACTATAATTGTACTAATTTAATTAGAAGGATGTGATTTTGTGATATTGGGATGCAGGTAATCAGTAATGGGAAGCTACAAAGTGCTGCACACAGGGCTGTGACAAATTCAAGTGATGCTCGCACCTCTGCTGCATTCTTGGTAGGTCCTTCAAATGACTGTATCGTAGGGCCAGCAGAAGCTCTCATTGATGAACATCACCCTCCCATTTTTAGGTCTTTCAAATACAAGGAGTTCCTCTATTACTACCGTGCCAAACTTGATGATATGGGAGTGGTGCTGAAATCATTTGAAGCACAAAAGAGTTAAGTGAAATGTTGAAAACAAAAGTGTTTGTGTCTACAAGTGAGTGACAAGTCCTACCTTAAATAGAAATGTGTGTATTCAGTAACATAAATAAAAAAACTTGCAAAACCGAATAATGTTTTCAAAATGTATATGTCAAGTTTACTTATCTTTATCATGATGTAATGATGAGAAACCTTCATCTTTCTAATTGTTTGGCTTCACTTAAGTTCCCCCGTTTGGCATACTGTGAATTAAGTTTCACCAAAATATTAGTTTTTTACGATTATATAATTAACCTTACGATTATCGTTACATTGAGAGTTGTCAAAGCAAAATATTTTTCAAAACATTATTTACAAGCATCAACGAATCTTATATAAATAATTAACGTGAATATGGTAAAACAATCATATTAGTATTATTTATTACTAGTAAAATTTTATTTTATGTAATCAAATTAAACAAGTCTATTAGATTACTAAAATAGATAATATAGATTTAAATGAGTGGATGTCAATGTTAGTAGATTAGAAGATAATGACAATCATTTTAAGTTAATACAGTATAAGAAAATTATGACAGTCGATATACCAAATTATAGAAAACTCATACTTCTTTCTCTCAATCCAAAGAGGCTAAGGTTAACTCAAGAGATTTGATTGAGAAAAAATCATAAAATCATATTAGTTCCTTTGTTCATGCTCTCAATCAATTGTCGGCACAAAGTAAGATTCTGCAACAGTGGAAGAATGCTTATATTAGAAATCAATGATGAATCTACATATTTATCCTATTTTTAATAACCAAACATGTTTGTGTAGATCTCAAGTCTTTGGTGAATTGTTCTAGGATATAGACTTGCAATTTTTTGTTTTTGGATTTTGCATAAAAAAATATAGAATAGTGAAATAAAGATTAAAATTTTCAACAATATTAGTATCAGAGATAATGATTCAATTAGCTAATCAATTCAAACGAGTATTAAGCATTGAAATTGATTGCAAATCTATGTATGGTTATCCTTTGTATAAAGTTTTCTTGGTAGTAATTGGTAAATCCTTATCAACAAGATAGTCGTCGATAGCTTGACAATTGAATTTTTGATATTTTTATCATTTATCAACAATTTGATTAATTGCTGGAGAGAGTATTTTCTATTTAATTAACTACAATCAAGCTATCAATAATTGTTTGTATTTTGGTATGTCAAAAAACTTCACATTATTGGACAAATGTAGTTAAATACTTTCTTTCCTTAATTCACTAAAAAATATTTTAAAAATAAAATTGTGACAACTCATCAACTATCAAAGCGAACATCAAAATGCGATAACTCTAACATTGTCAATAAACTTATCGTAATATTGACACTAACAAGAGATTTAGTAGTCAAAGTTAAGAGTAATTTTTTTTAATCTATCGAGTTTCCTTATGATAATAACTCATCAAATAAAAAAAAAATACATCAAATAAGTGACACTAATGGATTAGGTCAAAGTTGCTTCAGAGTTGTCTCCAAAAGTAGTTGTATTTGTAAATATAACATTAATTACCAGCACCAAGTAGAATTTTCTATGATATAAATTGCTTAACAACTACCTTGCCGTTGTGTGTCGTTGTGTGTACTTTGACTTGCATATCCGAACAACCCCAACTTCCAATTTTTGTTTTCTAGTTTAGGTGCAGCGACCTTATTACTACAATGTTCTAAAATATAATTTATAAGTTAACTTTTTTATTTATTATAAATTCTAATTATAATAAAATTTATATAATAAATAAATTTATTATATATTTTTTTATTTACCATGTTATATAATATATATTATGAATTTTAAATACAACAAATAAATGATTATCATATGTACTGTACAAGTTAAAATACTAGTATTCAATATTTTCTTATCACTTTTTTTTTTTTTTTTGTGTTCTAATGGTCTCCTTATAATCATTTTCCCGATTCTTTTTGACTAAAGTTTGTGGCATACTTGGTTGAGTAGCCCTATAGTAGGGCTTTCTTGTCGCCTCTAGTGGGCCAGGAACGATAGAAAATGAAGGCCAAATTTGTGGACAATATTGAAACTTGCAAGGACCATACAATGTACTTCTTCCGTAAATGGCCCATCCTTTATCACACGAACCACCCTTTATCTCAATCCTCAATTTTCCACTGTTCAAACTTGCATATAGCTAGGGAGTTGAGTTGACTTACAATGTTGACTCTCACAAGGGAAAATAATTTTATTCAGATAAATGAACACTCATATTCGATATCAAAAGACACAAACCATATTGCTTAAAATTGAGGACAAGTTTATTTGTCAGTGCATTTGCTTGCTTGTGTAAAGCTACTTTAGAGACAGCAAAATATCGATCGCAGATGAAAGCTACCACCACGACACCCAAATCCAATGATTATGTAAGGCATGATGCTACAGCTAACGAAGTTCAATGTTTCACCTTAGAATAATATTACCCAGATGATGGACCAAAGTTAATATTTTAATTTCTTGGTCTGTGTCCATCTACTTCCCAATAATATAATATCAGTTATAATTAATTTACCAAAACCAAAGAATACATATGATAATCAGGTCAGCCAATCAGAACAATACAGCAATATTAATCCTCTCACTACTACATATATCACATTTAGTAACATTTATCTGCTAACATGTAATAAAATGTTACTAATTTCTATTAATTATATATTTTGTAACATTTTTAACAATAAATGTTACCAATTAATTTGAATTATACTCTTTAGTAACATTTTTAATCATAAATGTTATTATTTTATTTAAATTATATATTTTTTTTTTACTTTCTAACATTAAATATTATTAACTTATCTAACATTTTAAACATTTTTAATAATAGATTTTACTAGTATTTGCTTAATTACTAATTTTAAATAATAATTAGTTTTTATTTAAAATCTATTTTCTTATTTAAAAAAAAATACTTGCTTAAACTAGCAGAAACGTGCAAACAACCCTTCCGCATCAAGAGAGATAAACAGAGCCCTTTCGCACCAAGAGAGATAAACAGAGCCCTTCCGCATCATTCAGAAAAATCGGAAGACTGAGCAATGGCAACGTTCTCTCATTCAACTCTCTTATGCTTCACATTCAGAAGCCACAAACACTTCTATTGACCTTGTTCTTTTCATCTCTGATTCTACTCTCTTATTCTTCAAAATCGGAAGCCATACTCATTTGACCTAGTTATCGAAACCTTAAAGTAAGTTTTACGATTTTTAATTTAGAGTAACCAGGATCTTTTGATTCCCAAATGTTGTTCATTGAATTAAGGATGTGAGCGAGATATCTTATTGGTTCTGCTTCCTTTTCCCTATTGTTTGTTCTATACAGCTTGGAGAAGGTGAGGGGGAAACTGCTACAATTGAAGCGGGTTATCACTATGTGCTAGAATGGATAATTTGCTTGCCTGAATTTTGGTACTATTTCTTTTGGATGATATTTTCTTAGTTTACAACTAGTAACTGGAGTTTATTGTACTTTTCATTTAGGTTGGAGAGAAAGGAGTTTTGAAATATATTTATCCTTATGATTTTGGATTTTTATTGTGTTATTCTTTGTATTATCTTTTTGATTCAAAGCCATGTAAGATTCATTATTTTCGATTTTTATACAAACTAATAATATTGATAGCTAGCAAAATCCCTTTCTAGTTTTACTTAATCTGAATGCTATGCTATGGAATATCAAAGAAACATAAATATCAAAGAGATTTTTGATCCTTTAATTTAAAATTTAGAATGTGCAGTTTTAGTCCTGCAAGTTTTTCTTAGCCAATTAAGTTCATCAATTTTCTAAGTTAGGCAAATTTGATAGGCCAAGTAATGCTCAGTTGCTCACTTTACATCGTGGCAACGGGTGTGTCTACAGGGTCTTTAACTAAGCTAGGATGATTGGATCTTGATATGTTTGATTGTTGGTGTGCTTTACCCATTGATGGTGTATGTCTTGATGAGGTGTACATAGTTCAATTAGCAATAAGAAGTGATTTGAAAAAGCATAGTACTCAAGCTTTTGTGTTGTCAAAATATAGTTAATGGAGCGTGTTGGTATGTGGATCTTAGACTCCATTAGGAAGAACCTTCTCAGAAAGTGCATGAAATTATAAAGAAATGAGTCAAAAGAATTATGGCATATTAAACTTCTCATAAACGAGCATGAAATTAACAGTATATTTACATCTTACGATTCTTGTCCAGTTCTTCTTTCATATATAGTTGAAAAAAGTCTAAACATTTTGTCATGTGAACTATACAATTGCTGTCTCGCTATTTCTGCTGCGCCTAAGAAGTACTTGTGTTGAAGTTAAGAATCAGTGTGTTCTCTGTTGGAAGAAGTTGGATTGGTTCTGTGGTAAGGTCTTTTTCTCTATTTTCAGTATTACATTTACCTCTTAATAAGTATTAATGTTGATTTAGTGATAAGATGAATTTCACTAAAAGCTTTATCTTTTAACACAAAAACATTTCTTTGAAAACTATTTACTAACAAAAACATGTCATTAATCCCTGATTTCGGTTGTCAAACTATTTACTAATATTTTCCCCCCAATTTTATTACTTCTTTTTCCCAGGTTGCATTGGATCATCTTTCTCAAAGGACTGATATTGACGCATCTAGAATAGTTGTATTTGGACGATCACTTGGTAGTGCAGTTGGAGCTGTACTAACAAAAAATAACCCTGACAAGGTACCCCTTGGACCTTGGTAAACTATATAATGTTTAATGTTCATGTTGTTCTTCGTAAAAATCTAATGATCTTGGATTTTAGTTGTCACCATGGACAATTGCTTGCTAGATTTCAGTTGCCTGAAGATAAATGTTTCCTTGGAATGTTAGTACTATATGTAATTATAGTTTGCTAGGTTCACAAGGCATACAGCAAGACCATATATATAGCTGCAAATTAGTTTGCTAAAGTTTCTTTTCCTGTTGATAGATTCATAACTCATTTCATGATTTTCAACATTATGTGAGAAAGGAATATTCAATTAATGTGGATGCATTTGTGGGGAAACTATATCAACTGAGGAAAAACAACGTAGTTTTTAACTAATTAAAATTATTTTTGATAATTAGGATCAGGATTAGTTTATTTTCTGAATTTTGTTTATGTTTTTTTGTCTCGATAAGATTCTAAGTTACAGAATCCTTATCTGTTCTGGTTTTTTTAATTTTTTTATAGTTATGATCCAATCAATTAGGATCCCTTTCTTATATGTAGCCTTATAAAAGGACAGACTTCTATCGGGGGAATGAACGAAGAAACTATTAGTCTAGGAGGGGCTCTGTTGTCCAGAGTCTGTTACTAACTTTTACTGTAGGTCGCAAGTAGGAGTCTTCTATATCTAGGCTAGTGACTTGGTCCTACGTGGAAGTCTACAAGTTAACATGATTTTAGGTTCCAATTGCAAAGTATTTGACATGAGTTTCACTTTGAAGTATGAGAATATAGTGTGCAGTTTTTAAGGCCTTGGGTTCTCAAAATACAACAGCTAGCTTCTGTGACATGGTTTTCCCATTTGGTATCAATCAGACTGGTCATCTGTGCGTTATAACACTGTTATAGTGGCGTCACATAGTGATGTGGCCATGGGCTGCTCTGTGGAAGCCCATCATGTCACAGGCCATTGTTGTGCCTGAGTGTGAATCAAAGCTGCTGTTGCATCAGAGACAAAAACCCTTCTCTTTTGGCCACTAACAATGTTGTTTGGTGCTCTTTAATGGGTGGGAGGAGATCTAATAATTTTTTAACCAAAATCATGCATCTTCAATTTTTTAAGAATTTTCATTTTCTAATAAATTTTCCTGCAAAATAATATTCGCAGAAATTTTTTGTGAATTTATTTACAAAAAATAATTTACAAATATTTCTTACAAATTTTGCTACAATTTTAATGATCATAGAAATTTTTTTCCATGGTAAAAATTTGCAAAAAATATTATTTTATTTCTTGCATATTTTCTTGCAAAAATAAATTCACAAGTAATGTTTATTAAATGGTAGAAAAATTTTGCAAGTAACTTTTCCTGCGGATTTTCCTACAAATTATCTACAGGAAAAATAAAAAAAATTTAAATTTATAAGTTTAATATTTTAAAAAAAACTTCAAGTCTCATATCGATTCAAAATAAAACAATTAAAGAGTATATAAGTTTGAGCAACACTTACCTTACAAGTTGATTTGTATGGTTGAGTGTTAGGCTTATAATCTACAATCTTAGAATTGAAAAGATTATGTATCATATGTTGGAGGCAGGGAAATAAATGTTTCGGATGAATTCATTGTGAGCATTTGAAAGTTGAAGAATTATTGATACAATTTATAATAATTTCTTTAATTTTTTTCTTAAAAAATATTCTGCAGAATTTCTTGTGAAAAAATTCGCAGGAAACTTTTTTGCGAATTTTTTTTTGCAGAAAACTTTCTTGCAAATTTTTTTTGCAGGAAACTTTTCTGCGAATTTTTTTCGTAAGAAATTTTGCAGGAAAATTTCTTGCAAATTTTAAAATTCGCAAAAATATATTATCCCCGAAGGTATTACCTGTAGATAAAATTTCGCATTTGTAGAAACGTTTCTTACAAATTTTTCATAAAAATTTACAGAAAAAATTATATATAATAAGAGAAATTCTAGTAGTGAATCAACCATAAATTTGATAATTTTCTTTAGTTTCTCCAACACAGTTGCTTCTAGTTAGCCTAGGAGACAAGATGACACATGGCATCTCTTGATTAGCTCTTCTAGATCTAAGTGTCTCCTCTAGAGACAAGGTGACACTTGGCAAGCTAGGATTGGCCAATCTAGATCTAATGTCTCTACCTTATCTCTTCTAGCTTGCTCTACAAGCTACTCCATTATTATATATGCTTCCTTTCACTTGCAAATGACATGTTTGGATGATATATGTGAGATTGTCTCTCTGAATTCTCTCTCCCTAAAAGTCCTAAATCTCTTTGATCTTGATCCAATTCTCTTATCCTCTTCATAAAGAGTGTGGTGAGGATTGAAGTGGTTCATCTTCTTCCAAGGAGTGGCATCACTTGAAGAGTGTTCTTCACCTCCTAAGGTGAAGTATGAGGCTTCTACTTCCATTAGAGGCTTTGGTGAAGCTTGAGAAGTGTCAAGAAGCCAAAGGTCAAGGGAGAAACTTGAAGGAGAAGCCAACATCAATCCGGATTCTCTATAAGGTTTCCATCACCTAGCCACACCATGTGTGGGTGATCCCACAATGGGCATGAGTTTGGTAAAAAGATCTTTGATCTCTTTGTGTCGAGTACAAGTCAAAACTCACTAGACACCACAACTTTTCCCTTATGATGTTACTTTTACGAATTAAATGATATATAATTGAGGAGATGAAAGGAGAAACTAAGACTGAGAATCGTTCACTAGATGATGATAATCAATTGATTCTAGAAGTTATTATTAACTTTATCATCAAAGTGTCTTTTTGCATATTCGATAAACTCAGAGAAAAAGAGGGACTTTATACTCAAGCACCTCTAAACTAGTCCATTTCGCAAGTAAAAAACTAAAATAATTTCAATTTAGTTGATCACATTCTGATTTTTTAGTTTTGTATTTGATTTTTTTAAAACAACTAGCTATAGAATAATAAATAAATAAATAGCTTAATTGCCACACATAAAAAAAAAAAAGAGAGAGAGAGAGAAAACTTAACATTATTTTGACTTACACTGTCCTTTGAAATAATTAAGTTTCAACAGTGCTGGATACTGTTCTAAGTATACAAATCTTGTCTCTAGTAACCAAGTTGCAAACATTCACGTACCTAGCAACAAATAAAAATAAAAAATAAAATAAAATTACAAGATATAATTCTACCTTTACAATGTATTTTATTATAATTAGGTACTGCCACTCATACAAATGTTAAAATTAAGAATTGTAGAAGTAAACATTAATCAAGACATTTAGGTGGCTATTTTTGCTTCTTTATGAAATTAGATCAAGGAACATAATTGCTTCTTTTATTTTGTTTATGTTGCAGGTTTTAGAGTGAATATGGTGGTGGTGGTGGTTGTGGCAATTTAGATCGTGTGTATATTGAAACATCATACTATTTGATATGGAAGTTACACAACTCAAAATGAGAATTCATAGAAAAATGCAACAGTAAAACTTAGATGATTTTAGTTTTATCTTTGACAGAAGAAATTACATGTTATTGCAAACTTGACAAATTAGTGTTGCCTTTTGAATGATATCATGATGGACAAAAAAGATTTAAATAAGAAGTTTATCTTTATTTTAATTCATTAAATGCATAACTTCATGCTTGCAAGTGTTACAATATAATAAGTTTTCAATTCACTATTTGAATTAATAAGGAAGTAATGGATTCAAAGTTGTTATGATTTAGATGATTAAAACAAATTTGTAACATTTGATAAATGTGGCAAAAGGTGTCAATTGACAACATTTATAAAATGTTACAAGTGATATGCTAAAATGTTACAAAAGATGTCAATTTGTAACATTTATAAAATGTTACAATTGGTATGTTAAAATGTTGCTAAAACCTTTTAGCAACATGGACTTTATACTACATTTGTAAAAGTGTTACTAATTATAATTGGTAACATTTTTCTTAATTTGGTAACATTTTTTAAATGTTGTTAAATGTGAAAGATGTTGTAGTGTCTAGAACCGTTGGTTCGTCAATTCATTGCAACAAAGAGGATGAATTAATGATTACTTGATTTTTCTATTTCCAATATTTCATTAAGTATTTGCCAAAGAGTCATGACTTGCAAATAGATTAGTCTTTAATCGTGAGCATTACCAATTACGAACAAGTTAATGGATATATAAAATAAAAGCCCTTATCCAATATATCATTCTTATGACCTCACCTTGAATCTGGTTGAGAACCAGAATTGTATGTGGCGACATTCATTATGAATAATTCCAAACAAAACTTCTTGAGGTGACCCTCCGCAGGCCTTTTAGCCATCACCAAATTTTGTGATGCATCCACATACGTTGAACTCTCTAAAACAATCTTAATCATGGGGTATCAGCATATTCATAAATTTCCCCGTCCATTGAACCTATGGTGAATTTGGCATTGCATCACTCACTACCCAATTAACTAACAAGTTAGGTCTTAGACCCTTAGGTGCTTAATGTGTAGCAAGTATAAATAAATGGTACATAGAGGAGAAATAGCACCAATTTTTGGTGAGGTACACAATGGAAGAGGAGTCAAAGGAGAAAAAGGACACTAAGGAAGAGCCACGGTACCGAGGAGTGCGGCGGCGGCCGTGGGGGAAGTTCGCCGCCGAGATTCGGGACCCGGCTCGGCACGGTGCCCGGGTGTGGCTGGGGACATTCCTCACGGCGGAGGAGGCAGCTAGGGCTTATGACCGTGCTGCCTTTGAGATGAGACGTGCTTCAGCCGTTCTCAATTTTCCAAATGAGTATCCTTCATGCTCTTCTATGAACTCCTCTTCATCTTTAGCACCTTCTTCTTCTACAACGGTTAAAAATGATCACGGTAAACAAGTTATTGAGTTTGAGTGCTTGGATGACCAATTGTTAGAGGACCTTCTTGATTGTGATGACTATGCCTACCAGAAAGACTTGCCTAAGAAATGAACATTAATTTGGTGGTGATGATCAAATTTGAATGTTAGATGATTGAATTCATAGCATACCTATATTGGTGGTGTGAATGTGTTCACTAATTAGTTAGTATGTATGGTTTGTATGCTGAACTAGCTAGGAGTGATATGGTTCAACCTTTTTAGTTTGATTGATGTTACCTAATATAGGAATGGATTTTTTATAAAAAAAAAATATATAAAAATATCTTTATCTTTCATAGTTTTTTTCCCGTACTTTATCTTTCTTAGTTTAGTGTTATAGATGTTTATAGTTTATACAGTAATTTTACATAATTTATTATTCTCTTATGCAATACATAGTAAATTGAGAGTTCAACAGCTGGATTTGAAATGAAATTACTGTTTTAATCCATCGGATTTGTAATTCAATTAATTAAGTCCGGTTCTTGCTTTTATTCCACTTGACAATTAAAATATTCAATCATAGATATCATTTATACATTACATATTCTAACTTCATATATAAAAATAGATAATAAAACAAAAACGCAGTGACTATTTAAATATATAACCACCACAGTATCCAAATTAACAAAGTCTACGTATAAAGATATCATAAGTCGGTTTTCAATTTAGACACTTGAACAATCAGCATCACACAGAAGTCAGCAGATTAAGCTTTTGTATGAACTTTCTTCAACATAATACCCACTCATTCCTTTATTTCGTTTTCGTTCCTTACTTTTCGGCCGGGTATAGCTTTTCGTTCATTAATGTTACATCATTTCATGGAATGTAACAGTATGTTCAACCAAAACAAATTAGTTAGAATTTAGGGGTTAATCCCGCTAACAGTTAGGGGTTAATCCCGCTAACAGTCCTGATTAGTCAATAATGATTTTAGAATTTAATGAGAAAGAATAACTAATTTAAATAATGAATTGTAGTATGAAAACTTTGAACGTTTGAGAACCTTGGGTACTTGAGGTGTCATCCAACGACTATTATAGAGAAATAAAATCCGTCACGTGATTTGAGCTTTGAGAGGACCTATCAAAGTGTGGAATAGTATGGCTAAACATAAAAATATATAAAAATAAAATACATTAGAAAACTGTTTATTTTATTAAAATAAAGAAAATTTAATCATTAAAACAAATTTGTCTTGATGGTGGATAATCTTATATAACTAATTCATTATTGCAATAAATGTTACATAAAGTGACATACAAAATTTTATTATAGATACAATATATATAAATATAAATTTATTTAATATGTAATCACATACAATTTAATATTGATTTTGAATAAGATTTATTAAAATATTTTGTGTCATTATAATCTATATTTATATTTTAACAATATATTAACATGTATTGTATATATAATGTAAGTAAAAGTAATTTTAGGAATAAGTATTGTGTCCCTATATGGTAATTTCTTTGTACACTTGGAGCTAAATTGTGAACGTTATGTATTTTTTTCTTCTTAACTCAATTTTTAATTAATATATCTGGTATATATATGGTGCGATCCATGCAAGAATGGCTAGGATATAGTCAAAGTTTCACATCCTTGGAACAAAATGAAAATAGGAGCTTATGAAGTATACAATAGTTAATATACATGCACCTTGTGATAACTCTGGCAAAAATAGATTGTGGGAGGATTTAAAACAAAAATTGTTGGGCATTAACAACAACTATTGGTGTGTGCTAAGAGATTTTAATAGTATCTGAAAAACATTAGAGAGAATTGGAGATAGTATAAAGGCACATACGATAAGGGAGACATAAAGGATTTTAACAATTTTTATTGGATATATGGCTTGATAATATTCCAATGGAAGGAAGAAAATTTACCTTATTTAGACCTAATGAAAAATCAAAAGGCCACATTGATAGAGTGCTTTTAACAAGGGAATGGATCTCTTAATGGCCTAGCAACATCCAAATAGTTGTAGGTAAAAACATATCCAACCATTGTCATGTTTTGTTGAAAACACTACATGAAATTCGTCATTTTGCGGCAGTTTTTTTTTCATATTGCAGCGGTTTTCGCCCCCCTCAAAATAAGTAACGGCGTTTTATAAAAACGCCGCAGTTACGTTCACCACTAGCATTATACGACGATTTTTACCAACCTCTGCTACCTTTTCCATTCTGCGGCGTTTTGTTTAGCGAGGGTTTTTGACCTCCTCAATTTGAATGATGTTTTTTTTATTTGACAATATATTTTATTTTTTTAATCTAAATTACATTTAACATGTATACAAAAAAATAAGGAGGTACTCATAACATAATCCAAACAAGAAACCAAAGATTTGTAATTAAAAAAAGATTCTATGCATTACTTAAAAGCTGAAGATTGTTATCACTGGATGTTCACTAGACTTGAGCTCAATTCAAAAGTAATATATTATCATGTTTAAAATTAATGAAATGAAAGGTGACCTGAGTGAAGGATCATGTTGATATGCAGGGTCCAATGAGTCTTCATGGCCTGACACAGTAAATGAAAATTCCATAGAAGAAAGACTATTGGATAAGGTTATCCCCTCAGAATACAAGATGTCCATGTCCAAGGGTTCGTAATCTTTGCTGGAAATTTCAACAGCCTGCATCCGAATAAATACTTAGATTCTGATGTGATTGAGGTAATCCTATGTTACAAATATCCACACAAAATTCCCACTAAAGTGATTAAGGTGGAAATCCTGTGTCTTATTGGAAGAAACTTCATGAATCCAAATGGGATTAAAAAGAAAAGAAAAGAAAAGATAAACAGTTTTTATACAGTGATAAACCATTATAAACAGTCTATATTGTGTCAAATCAGTTATTCCAACTCTATTGACAAACAGAACGATATAGAAAATGGAAACAAAGTAAAAATAGAATAATTTAAAAAGAAAGAAAAAAAGTTGCATTAAATATTAATGAGTTATGTGAGTTCAAATGAATTATAATGCGATGATGAATATAAAGAAAGCAAAACAAATCTTACTCGCTCTAGAAAATAATTAGCATTTGTTGGTAAATTTTTTATTTCATTTCTCCTACTATATGTGGCCTGAATGGCTGCATCTCTCCACAGTTCTTCCACCAGTGGAGCATATTCACAAGCAGCAGCTGGAAATATTGCTTCCAAGTTACCTGAAACCATGTATTTCAGTAGCCATTCTGAGAATACCTTCAGTCTTGGACCAATGGAATAGGGTGTCCTGTCAATAATTTCCCCACTAATCCCTGTTTCAAACTAAACATCAATAACTTTCTATATAAATTTCCAATATATTGTAAAAGCTTCTTTAGTTAGTGTCGCGGGTTGCATCAATTGTCCCGTGGCAGAGGCTAGGTGGGCCAAGTCACTGTCGAATCATGGCGCTTGGGCTGCTGCGCTCTTAAATAAAACGAGTTGCGCCCTGACTATAAGCTATAGCTTTTTGTTGGTCCCTACGGTTAGAATCTAGAAGGGGGGGTTGAATAGATTCTATGTTATTTTTCCTTTTCTTCTTTGCTTTCTAAATCTTTACCAAACAAATCTTGATTTAAAACAAACCTTTAAACATAAAAAGTAATTCAGAGTTATAAATGCACAGCTTATCCAACAAGATTTGAATAACATAATTTAAGTTTTATATATCCAATAATATTTTGATTAGATTTTGTCTCATATTATGAGACTACAAGTAAATTCAAGAGTTGAAATTGGCAAAATTCGTTAGCCAATTTTATTTCCCCTTCAAAGGAATTGCTCACAATACATAGCAACTCACAGACAACTACATGAGAAACATACCAATATAATTCGTTAGCCAAAAAAAATACAATCTAAATTTAAACAGCGACAAAAGCAGCTAGCAATCATTATAAAAATTTACTTTAGATCAATCACAATAAGCAACACGAGTTAACCTCTCCAAGGAACATGGCAGAAAGGACGACCGAAAAGAAAGGCTCCATGGCCTTGATCGTGTGAGTGAAAGACACAGCCACCTTCCCAAGACTCATATTAGTGAAAAGATTCCCCAAAGTATGCACCGCAGCCAACGGCAAAATCGCTCCAAGCTGCCACACACAAGAAAATCCAACATCAACAAACACCTAACAGAACACAACAACACACAAAACTCAACACATCAAAGTCCAAAATACCATAGCACCACTGAGTTTCAGCCTCTTGTACAGATTCAAACCCCACATTAACACCACAATAACAGTCCCAACGGAAAACTGCGTGAGAGTCACAGTCACCGGAAAATGATACGCCTTCGACACCTGCAAAATAAATCCACATTCAAATCAATCATTTCCTATCACTCTTCCTCTCACGTAACGCACAACACACCACAACACAATCACAAACTGCACAGTAATCCGAAATGGAATAAAAGCTTCCAATCTAAACTACGCAGACGTATCCATGAATTAACACAAATCCAAGGGCGTGTTTGGAAGGAACAAACGTTTTAACGAAAGATCTGGCGAGAGAATAGAACCTGCTTGTTATAAATATTGAAGTGTAGATGTTGAGAAGGTACCAGAGGCCGAACAAGGCGCCGAGTTCGGGAGTCTTGAAGAGTGTATTCTCGGATCGGGAACGGCGTTTTCGGCGGCGCGTGGAGGCGAAGGGGAAGATCGTGGCGAAGGAGCTGAAAGGTACGCAGATAACGATGAACTGCGTGGCGCCGGGACCCATCGCGACAGAACTGTTCTTCGAGGGGAGATTTTTCGCTTTCTTCGAGGGTGTGGGGAGAGGTGGGGAAGGGTTGGGAGACGAGGAAGGGTGTTCGCAGGGAAATGTAGACAAAATTGGAGGGATTGGGTGAAAATAAATTGCGGGGGAAAATGGTGACAAATTTTAAGGTAAAATTGCCTCTCTATTTGGGAGGGCATAAACCTCCTCAAAAAATGATAAAAATCGCCACTATTTTTACAATTTTGAGCGTTCCTCCAAAACGCCGCAACTCATGTTAATTTGAGGGGGTTTTTAAAACCTCCGTAAAATAACCCCCACTAAATAGCATTTTTTTTGTAGTGAAAATGGTATACAAGACTGGGGGTCAAAACCTTTTTGAACTCTAGATTGCTAGTTTGAGGATAAAACTTTTAAGGGGTTTGTTGAACAAACATGGAGTGATTTGCAAGTGTTTGGGTGGGGTGCTTTTATCTTAAGAAAAATTGAAGATGCTCAAACAAAAGTTAAAATAGTTGAATTTAACACATTTTGGAAATTTACAAAATATGCATAAGAGTACTGTAGCTAAGTTGAATGAACTAAATTTAAAGGAGGAAGCACTTAGATTGAATG